GCGCGCGCGCTCGGGGGGGCTCTGGGAGGGGCTCTGGGAGGGCGCGCGCTAGACGCAAACCCGCCCGGACACACATCCAGAAACGCACACACTCTCTCAACACACGCAGAGTCGCGGGTGCGCTTCCCGTCGTCAGGATCCTCTACCCAGGCGCTGGGGTCCCCAGGGAACCGAAAGGCGCCCCCACCGCGCGCTGTAGCCGTGTCCCTACGACTCGGTAGGGCTGAAGCCTGCAGGACTCCGCCCCGTCACCTCAACCTGCCTGGCCGCTCCTGACCGCCGCTTTCCACTACCAAAAACTTCAGGCACCAGAACCGCCCGGCCCGCCACAGGTAAACGCAGCCCGCCGCTTCCGGGTTGTTGCCTAGGTTACGGAAGCCCCGCCCCACTCCCCTGCGTAAATCCGGCGAAGCCAGTACGCAGGCGCCGCCCACAGGGGCTGTGGGAATAAAATGTTCTTGTGCGCCCTACCTTCGTCCCAAAGACATACTAAGCCAGCGGTTCTCAACCTGTGGGTCGCGACCACTTTGGGGGTCCAATGACCCTTTCACAGGGGTCGCCTAAGACCATTGGAAAACATATATAATTACAATTGTTTTGTGATTAATCACAATGCTTTAATTATATTCAATTTGTAACAATGAAATTGGGGGTCACCACAACATGAGGAACTGAATTAAAGGGTCCCGGTATTAGAAAGGTTGAGAACCACTGCTCCACGGGATTCCAGGCCAAGCTTTGGAGGTTGGCATGTAGCATTAGCAAGTTTCTTGTGAAGCCTCTGGAAGATGATGCTCTCCACACCAAGATTCACACATCACACTTACTTGCCTTCACCTCTACTTACTTATAAATATAGACTCCTCAATGATACAGGATTCCTGTCTATATCTCTGCTGTGTTCCTAATTTCCAACACAACGTCAGCAGGACCTAAAAACAGGCCAGGTCCTGTTCACAGCAAACAGCTATCAATGACACAAATGTAAAATTAAAACTGTGACAAGTGCTAAGAAGTAGGCATACTAAGTAATAGAAATGTTTTAATTACTCAGGAAGCTGAAAAGCGGAGGGAGCCACATATGTAAACATGTGTGCCAAATGCAAAAGTTGGGGGAAAGTCCAGTATGTTTGGAGTTCAGAAAACTGTGGGTGCTTGGTATGAGGTACCTGCCCTAATGGTCTGGAGCCCGGATAGGCAGAGCTGAGTAGACCATGTGAAGGACTTTACAAAGCAATCATCAAAAACAGTTAATTTGCTCCAAAAGACAACTTCCTTTAACCCCTGGTTTTCTACTACTAACACACACCCATACATAGATCAGCAAATACGTATTCAACACCTAGATGCAAAAACAAAAAAATAAAACAACAAACAGCCAGAACCGGTTTGGCTCAGTCGATAGAGCGTTGGCCTGTGGACTCAAGGGTACCAGGTTCGATTCTAGTCAAGGGCATGTACCTTGGTTGTGGGCACGTCCCCAGTGGGGGGCGTGCAGGAGGCAGCTGATTGGTGTTTCTCTCTCATCGATGTTTCTAACTCTCTATCCCTCTCCCTTCCTCTCTGTAGCAAATCAATAAAACATATTTTAAAAATAAAAAAAAAAGAAAACAACAAACAAAAAAACTGCCTTCTAATAGCTTCCACCCTGTTTAAGGAAGATTGATGTAGATATATCCAGTGATCAATCAGTATAATCATTCCCTGCATATACTCTCAACTTCCTGGCCCACTCTGAGTTACTGTAACATCTGCACCCTTGCAGCTGAAACTGGGAAGAGAAAAACAACTAACCAAGCAGACTTTATGATTATTAGTTTTAGTTAAGCCCTTAAAGATGCCTGAAGACTATATTACAGTTCCCTGCTCCTTTGATTCTTCTAACCTCTTAAATGACAACTTTATACCTTCTCTCGTGCCCCAAATCTCTTAGTCTCAGCCAATAACCTTGCTTCCTACTCCACTGACAACATTGAATCAATCTGAAGAAAACTTCCATAAACTCCCATCAGTAAGTCAATCTCCTCACAGCATCTTTAACCACAACCCTGCCTTCTAGAAACTCAATAAAACCCAAACACAAGAAACACAACATTATATCAAGGTATATAATAATCTAAAAGGCAGTAGGAAAAGATGACCACAACATGAAGTGAAATATGAGATGGATTGACTCCATAAAAGAAGCCATAGGCACAGGTCTACAGGAACTGAGTAGCATTGTTGACAATAGGACACTGTGGACATCACTTATTCATCTGGTCACCAAGAGTTGGGGCCAACTCAACAGCATATAACATACACACATAATAGTCAAATTGCTTAGAACCAATGATAAAGAAAAAAATGTTAAAAGCAGCCAGAGAGTAAAAACATTACATTGGAACAAAACTAAGGGTGACATCATATTTCTCATTAGAAACATTATAAGCAAGAAGACACTAGCATATATTAAATGTATTGAAAGAAAAAGAAACCTATCAACCTATAGTTCTATAGCTGTCAAAAATATGTATTTGTTGTTGTTATTAACCCTCACCCAAGGATATTTTTCCATTGACTCTTTTTTTTTTAGGGGGGGTGGGAAGAGAGAGGAAGAGACACAGAGAGAGAAACATCAATGTGAGAGAGACACATCAATTGGATGCTTCCTGCACTCTCCTGGACCAAAGCCAGGGATCGAGCCTACAACCGACGCTCGTGCCTTTGATGGGAATTAAACCCAGGACCCTCCAGTTCGTGGCTGATGCTCTATCCACTGAGCCAAACCAGCTAGGGAATATATGTCAAAAATATTTTTAAATGAGGATGAAGTAAAAAATGCTTCCACATATAACTGATAGATTTTATCATCTGCAGACCTTCACTATGAAAAAAGTTAAAGTAGGTACTTCAAGCAAAAGGAAAATGATGTCAGAAGGGAATCTGGATCTATACAATGAAAAGCACTGGAAATAACTACAGAGTAAATATATAACACTAGGGGCCCAGTGCACGAATTCATGCATGGGCGGAGTCCCTCAGGGTGGCCTGCGGGGATTAGCCTCAGCTCGCACCCCCAGGCTCACAGCCCCAGCTCACGCCCCCCGCCTCGCACCCCCACAGCTCCGCCTGGCACCCTGTCTTGGCCTGGCACCGCCTGCTCACCTGCTCTGCCATCCCACCACGGTCCCACTCTCATCGGGGCCCCATCAGGGCCAGCAGCACCTCTACTGCCGCCCAAATTTAATTTCAATAAATGCAAAAGGATTCAGTTCATACTAGAGATGTTCTCTGATCACAATGAAATTAAATTAGAAATCAATAGCATAATGATTCTTGGCAAATACCTCAAAATTGGGGGGCGGGGGGGAGGAGAGTGTTATATACTTCTAAATAAGCCATTAAGCAGATAAGAAATAAAAATGGAAACTAGAATACATTTTGAACTGAATGAAAATACAG